ATATCTGCACCTTTAAAATAAAACTATACATTTCTGTATATTGGAAAGTTTATTTATGAGCCATAAAAATATTTTTTAAACTTTATTTAATATCTTAATTAAAATCTGCCCATAAAACAAGGTATACCATATTTTATGTTGTTGTTGTGTTTAGGGCTGAAACAAATAATTGAGTTAATCGATTATTGAAATAATCGTCATCTAATTTAGTAATTAATAAATTGTTAACCGGAATATGCAGACAGAAAACCCCACAAAAAACAATAAAAAAAACTCCTCAAGTGGGAAATGTTAGTTTCACCTGGTTTAATACTGTCATAATGTCTTGTTTTCTTCTTCTTTAAGGATCCTTTGTCTGTACGATTATTAATCGAGTAATCAAAGAAATAATCTACAGATTAATTGATTTGCAAAATAATTGTTACTTGTGGCCCTAGTTGTGTTTTATAAAATTCTTTTTTAAGAAACATTTGCAATTTACATTGCTGATCCCAACCTGCATAAAAGGGGCCGGTAAAATGCTTTTTCTGCCATACTTATAAAATCCGACCAACTGGAGCTCGTCTTTCACAAGATCAAAGTTAATGAGATGAAGAATATGGAGAGTGTTTTAGTGTTCCCGTACAAGGGGAGGGATTGCTGTTGATTAAACAAGTCAATGCAATCAGCTTAGACAGAAAACTAACCAATCTGTCTGCATGATCTGGTTTAATATTCTCTTGAGATGACGTGTTGTGAATTGTCTATAAATGAACTGAATTAGAATAAATTAACTAAAAATAGATTGTGTGTTTCTAAAGAATTACTTTTATGCTATAAGTTTACAAGATGCAAACAAGCAAAACAAACATTTTGTTCTGTTCTCTTAATATCTTTTGTCCAAGGCCTATTCCTGGGGATAGAGGATGCCCTTTATCCCAGATTTGTGCAGATGATGGGGATCTGTCTTCACCAAAGGGTTCAGTATCCACTCTTAGAGTCATCCCTTTTATGTCTGAGGTAAAGTGCTTTCCCAGATCGAGAGGGATCAAATAAATTTGAACTCAAAAAGGGTTCAGAAAGGGTCAGCTGAGGTGGTTCAGATATTTGATCAGAATGCTTCCCAGTGTTTCCATTTGGAGACTTTCATGGTTCATCTCTCTTAGAAAAGACCTAAAACCTGCTGAATGGACCATAGTATTGCTTTGGGCCTGGCAACACCTTGAGATCCTCCAGAACAAGTTGGATATTGCTGATTTAGAAATGGATATTTGGGTTTTCCTAATGGATCCGTCACTACTGATCTCTGACAGGCAAAATACACTGGATAATGAAAATAATTTTAATACAAGCTAAACAGTCTTTAGAAATAACTTTTCTACTCAAGGTACAATGAATTACAGTGGAAATAATAGTTTAAATTGAGAGCATCACTCTTAATTTCATATAATACAGGAAGTGATTAGATTACACCCAGTTCTCAACCACTCAAAAGCCTAATCAGCAGGATCGCTGAACCTGAAATAAATTAGTTACTAACACCACCAATAATGAGATTCATTATTAAATATTCATCAGTTATAGCCAGTGGACAGTGTTTGTTTCCCCTCCTCCTCTCTTCTCTCTGTACGTCTGATCATATCAGGCTGATTAAAACCAGAGGATTGATTTTAGCCTGTAAATCCATGCCGAAGCTGAGAGAAGGAGCTGCCTGCCGCGTGGGGCCACTGATGAGGTCGGCCTAATCAATGAAGGGGAGCTGGGATAATGAGGAGATGCTCTTACTGTGGAGGGGCCATAGCAGCACAAAGTCCATGCAATTAGAGCATATTACATAAAAAAAAATGTGTTTATCATTATACTGTAAATATTATTTCTGTTGTTAAAGTTAGATTTGTCTTCATTTGTTAAAGGCTTTGTAAGGTGAAAATCCTGGAATATGCATAGATAAGTCAAAGTCTAGATAAGTAAAGGGAATAGAATAGACCCCCCCCCCCCAATATAAATAATCATTGTGCATTTCTCTATCTATTAATATTATAAATACATAATTTATCTTTGGTTTTTTACATCAGAAATTGAGTTCAACATTTTGAACTGAATGTAGCTCAATAACACTCACCAAGCCAGCCAGTCTGGTTTAGAAGCTAGAATACAAAGAACTATAAATGCAAATGATTTATTAAAAATCGAGAATTGGAAAGCAACATCAGCTTTAGGTTGAATCCTGATTTATGAAACACATGGGTAGTCAAATTTGACATCTGAATAGCATGAATGAAACCTTGCTGTGTAAATCTATCTATACTTATGTATGTAAGTTTGGGTCAGTTAAAAGCTTATGTCCAACTCAAAGTCCTAATCCCCTGTTTGGTACTGTTTGAGTAAGTAACCCAAGCAGCATATGGGGGAGAATGCAGGTCACCACACTTTCTCCCTTCCCTCCTCTCTGTCTGCTCCAGAGCACCGCCCAGCTCAATAGGAAGCCTCTCTTTGGCCCTTCATCCCCGGGCACCAGGCCCACTCCTATTGCACAGACCAAAGGTCCACAGTCTGGGATTAAAAGATGGCATTTGGTCTGTGACGGGAATTACTCTGCCCCAGATCATTTTTTTTTTCATCACTGTTTATTTATTCATTTATTTTCTATTTTCATTGCGAGAGAGTAAAAATAAAGCTTGTACAAGTGAGTGTTTTATATAAAAGTTTTTTTTTTCCTACACCGATGCAAATGACATGCAAACGCAAACATAAACATGTTTGCAGTCATGGGATTTGCTCCGTCACATTGACCCAGTAATGTTGCAGAAGTGAGCACGGGCCGTGAGAGATGAACACCGAACAGTGAAAGTGTAGAGCAGCGAGCAGAAGGGGAGTCAGACTCTAACAGGTGTTGCAGACCCATGTTCACAGAATTCAGGTCAACACACTGAGTAGCAGATCTCTAGGGAGATTTACAAAGACACATTGACCCTCTTTTTCATGCTTGTTGTGTAAATGAACATATGATGCCCAAAACCCCCATTAAAAGCAGTTGAACTGGAATAATCATTATTTCTCATCCGCTACATGAAGAGTGTTTGTAAATCTGTCAGTCTATTAAAAAAAAAGGTCAGGGAGACAATCAGTGTGCCTTTACATCAACGCAAGGCATGACGTGGGACAAAGTTAACTATGGCCCTTTGACTGTTTTTCACATTTTATCACATTAGCACCTCAAACTTCAGGGCTTCAATGAAGTTTCAGATATACCAGACGAAACTGTATAATAATGAAGACGAATGAAAATGATATCATCCAGTTTGCAATTTGAAGGGTTGTTTTTCAAAGGAAAACAAAAAGGTCACAGGGAATTTGGGAAAATAGTAGGAGTAAAAAATTATTGTTTGACTCTATTTTCAGTCCGGTTTGACCAGCTTCTGTTTAACTGCTGAAGACAAGTGTCTCCACAGCATAATTCAACACATGTGTGAGCTGGCTAGCATATCTACGTAGATGTGCATTGTTCTGTCACACACAGCATTGAGCATCAGCTGATCTTAATACTGTTTTTTTCTTGCCGGTCAGACGTGTGAAGTGAAAAGCTAGTTATATGTTCATCAGATTAATTTCCTAAACGACTTAGATTTAGACTTACACAAATGTATCGTCATTTTGTATACACATAATGTACACAAAACAAATTTTTGTTTTATACAGCTTTCAGACAGTGAATGAGCAGCTTAGAGGTTAAATTAACATTTTCATTTCACAAAGTCCAGAAGTGATCAAATGTAAACAGTGTGGGGGAAAAAACATTGTGCAAAAGGCATTGATGTGGAAGTTCAGAGGAGTGCAAGAACAAACCTATATATGGTGCAATAATGCAGCAGAAGAACATTTTTAAGTTGAGTTTTATTTGGTGATGTCATCAGTGTGATGCAGTGTCGATTTGTGACTTGATTTAAAGTTTTTTTTTTTTTTAACAGCTTTGGGTGAACTATGAAAGCTGCAATGGATTTTGTTTAGGTGTATCACAGTTAAATAAAATTTATATGTTTTCCTAACTTTTTAGATATTTATTTTTAATAACTTTAAGAAAAACATGTATTGATCATTTTGCAACAAACAATTTGAAAGCTGTTGGGTTTGACAGTAACACAAATTTCTATCTCCTTTATTTCAAACATTGCATGATCAAGGAGGATGACTTCAAAGATGTGCTGAGGTTTTGCTGTGATGGGAGCCTATTATAAACATTAGTTGCTGTGTTGCACATGCCTTTGTAGGCCAGTGGTGTCAAAAGTACACACATTTGTTACTTAAATAGAAGTATAGATACTGCAGTTTAAAAACACTCCGCAAAAAGTTGAAGTATCAACTTGAACACTTTACTCAAGTAAAAGTGAAAAAGTATGTGCTCCAAAAACTACTTAAAGTATAAAAGTATAAAGTAACCTTTAGAAAAAACAGCCAGATGCCACTATATGAATTGAAAGCTCAATTTTACGACTATTTCGAAAAATTCTTGGAGATAGGGCCAAGGATGAGAGAGGTCTTGTTGGTCTCCATCTCCTGATACGCTCTCGCCTGCGTCCGACCTTTCAGACATTTCGACATCTTTTTCTGAATCCGACATTGTAGCACGGCATAGACAATTCGTGTCTGATGATTTCCTTTTGCAACCCGATGAGTGTTTGCATTATTTGATTCATCCAATTACACTAGTGTTTACTAGATGTGGATCGAGCCAATGATCTGCATTGGATGGCGCACATGACATGAAATAAATATTTATGAACATTAAACCAAAGCCAAGAGTAAAGAGTAACATTTGTTTTAAAATGTAAGGAATAGAAGGTACAGATACTTGTGTGAAAATGTAATGAGTAGAAGTCAGAAGTAGGAAGAAAAATAAGTAATGGAGTATCTAAAAAATGTACCTAAGTACAGTAACGAAGTATTTGTACTTCGTTACTTGACACCTGTGTTGCAGGCAGATCTGTAGGTCAGAGATCACTAAAGAGAAGGCAAACAGGTACCTGATGTGTCCCACAGACTCAGCTCCACACGCTGCTCCTCCAGCTCAAGACAGGCTGTGTAGTTTTCAAACACCGTTGGCACATATGTCTGGGAAATAATAAGCAACAGGATAAAATTAGGAAGGTGCCAGAGACTTCACTAAAACCACTGGAGATTTTACTTAATGCAATTTCAAAGAGAATATATAAAAAAGCAGAACTGATTATTTTTTCTTTGATCAGCATCCAGTTTAAAAAGCTTATCAAGTGGATTAACACCCATTTGGATTCGATATAAAGCTTCCCATGGGATCTGAAATTAGTGAGTGAGCATAAAATAAGCCCAGTCTCAGTAAATGCGCACGCGCTCCGTCACCGCCTGCACCGGCGCACTAGATATTCTAAACATAGATATTCTAAAACATCTAGATTTCTAATGAAATACATAAAAAAATATATTATTGTGGATGAATCCCAGTAAGTGCTTTAACAATTTGTCACATTAGATCAGATATACCTCTGGATAGCAGTCCTTGGCCAGCACTTGTAACATTGCCGTTTTTCCGCATTGAACATCTCCCACAAGAACCAGTTTACATCTCACCACCAGCGGCTGCGTATTTCTCCTTTCCTTCATGATTACAGGCGCACTCCAGAGTTGTCTCCACCCAGAAATAAATAGCAAAAAAACAAACAAACAAAAAATGAAACAAAAGAACAAGCAAAGGAGCAGCCCAGATACGGTCCCAGTGTGAAAGTGCGTCGCAGCTTGTGTTTGTTGGAGGATGCCCGCAGTTGATCTGATTGAATTTGCCACTGCGGCTCTTTATACGGGCGAGCAGCAGCCAATAGGATCCCACCCCTCTGCAGACTCTAACATCACTTCTCTGCGCTCAATGATAATGTGAGGAGCAAAACAAACATGCACATTATTCAGAAGTGCATCATAAGCTGTCTTCATAAAATGTATCAAAAATGCTGAATTTTGTATTATGCTACCTACTTTAGAAAATGTCATCTTCTAGCTAGGAAATATAAGCATTAAAATTTATTATTTTAATTATTTTGAATATTAACCATAAAGAAATGTCTAAATGCTGATTAAACATAATTGTTTACAAATGTAAATATAATGCAAAATAAAAGGTGATAACAATAAAAATGACTTTTTAAAGTAAAAATACTGGGTATGCAAAAGGTTTTCATCAATACATTTCCTGCACGTGGAGTAGATAATTTTTTGTGCATCTTTAACCTGTCCTAGTAGAAGTACAATGCATGTTGGATTTCTGTCATCTTTAAATCACCTGTACTTCAAGAAAACTAGAGTTTTATGCAGAGTGAAAGACTGGAAACTATGTGTGCCAAAAATACAACTGTGTTCTTTTTAAAAAAACAAAAAAAACAAAAACAAAATCAATATAATTGGTTTCAATGAATAATACTTTTCGCCTTCATTTCTAGTCTAAGAATGTCAAATTCTAGATTTCCTATTATCAGTTTTCTTGAGCTGAGACCTTTTTCTGTCCCTGTTGTTGCTGCTAAAAATGAGGGGAAATTAAAAAGAAAAGCATAATAAGGCTGCAAATCAGTTTCATCCACGCTACTTGTTCTGTAATCTCATTCATGATTAAAAAAAACAAACTCATCTTTACACATAGCTGTACAGAAAGTTGAAACATTTCTCTCTTGAAGTAGCCTAAATGGAAATAACAATCTGCTACTGTAAGTTGTAGTTTCCTTATTTTTATCAAAAATATTAAGCACACTCTATTCAGACATCGGTATATTATGGCAAACCATTGGCTCTTTTGTTTTGTAATTCTAGAAAAACTTCATGTTACTTTTGGGTACCTTATCCTATCTAAACAATCTGATTAGGAATCATCGCAACATTCGGTCTTATTATCTCAGGTTCAGTCATGTTTTTTTTCTCTTTAACTGTTACAACAGTTGGTTTATACTAAATTAATATATCAACTTTATAAAGATAAAAAATTCTCACCTGACGGGTTAAAAAAAGTTTTGTTTAGAACAAGAAAGCAAGTGAGTATCCAGCTTTAGCTTAGCATACCAGCATGTCTGACATCTGATATGAAAAGATTACATTATTGATATCGTTTCACTCGCCTGCTTTGACTACCATGTAAAGGAGGGGGAAAAAAAACAACAAAAAAGCGAATGCTAAGTGATTAAGCAATAAAATACAACTGAGAAAGAGAGAAAATCAGTCCTAATAAGGTGAAAAGAAAACTTTGCCAGCCAGCAAACTGTAGCTAAGAGATGATGTTCACACCCAAACCCTGCTGAGCCAAGACAAGTGAAACTACCTGAAACAGTCAAGTTCTAAATATTTGGTTGGACTACCGTCAATCAAGTCATCCTCTCTTTGCAAACATTGGCTTAGGACACATTGATGAGATGACCACGGACAGGCACGGCTGTAATCTGTCACTTGGGCTGTTCTAAACTGATTGGTTTTAATGACTTAAGTGGCTAGATCGATCAGATAGCGCATATGAAGCTAGTGGGCTTGACAGACCAATCAACTAAGGGATAATTGGTTCAGTTTGCACATCAAGCCCAGCTAGCCCTTTTCTTAGTGATAGCAACTACTTTTCTTCCGCAATAGCGCTAGAAGGAATGATTGAAAATCTACCACTGGTTTTTGAATTTTTGATAATCTTGCTTAGATGCCTTGTGTCATTGTGGATAATTTTCAGTTTCCCCTGCTGGACTTTGTCTTTTTCACAGGCTTTGACTTTCGGCCCTTATGTTATAGAGAATGGAGTTTGGTGTGAAACCCCTTTGATATCAGTCAACAATGTCCCAAAGTGTTGAATGTTCTCACACTAAGGCACATCCACAGAGTTTGACACCCTGAAGGTTTTCTGTATTGAAGCAATGTGTTGTTGTATAGATAAAAAGATCAAATCAATTAGCTGCCCTTCCTGATGTCTGGCAGTCCCCCATATAATTTACATACAGATGAAAGTGATACTTATTGCTGTTTTGTCCCTGTGGGAAGAAGCAATTTGCTTTTACTCACAAAGATTTCCTATCACCAGTTTCCTGGAGCTGAGATCTTTTTCTGTCCCTGTTGTTGCTCCTAAAACTGAGGGGAAATTAAAAAGAAAAGCATAATAAGGCTGCAAATCAGTTTCATCCAAGCTACTTGTTCTCTAATTTCATTAATGATTTAAAAATTACACATAGCTGTATAGAAAGTTGAAACATTTTGTTTTCTCTCTTGAATTAAATGGAAACAACAATCTGCTACTGTAATTCTAGTTTCCTTATTTTTTATCAAAAATATTAAACACGCTCTACTCAGACATCAGTATGTTATGGCAAACCATCGGCTCTTTTGTTTTATAACTGCCTAGAGGGTGATGGAAAAAGTATAAAGTAAAACATATAATCAGTGAACTCTTTCTGACCCCAGTAAACTTACTGCAGCATAAATACATGTGGTAGCACCCTCTGATGGGACAGAGAGACAGGTGGCTGTGAATAATAATCAGGCATAAAGTGACACCTTCCAAAGTGACCCGCACAGATTGCTAGTCTATGGCAAATGAAC